AATCTGGACAGTTCTGAGGGTGCGCCAGTAAAAAGCATATTGCTACTATTTAACGCCTGCAAAACATGGTACTCCAAAACATTGTGGATACGCCATTTTACGTAAGAAATAGCGATTTACATTGTGATTTTCGTATGCCAACAATATCTGAAGAGTCGAAGAAATGTGCAATAGCACACAAACAGCGCCTGTAATGTCACGTTAACGTAGCAGCATCTAGTCTTCTCCAGGCGAATCCTCTTCGAAGACGGTTAAAGCGGAAAACTGTAGCCGAACTTATGAAAATAAATTAGCACATACTTTATTTTTCATGTATTCTTCTTTGAGCCTGCATCTTAAAAAATTAATGCTTTTTTCTCTTAATTATGTAAGTTATGTAACTCCAACTAAATTGCTTGTTAGTATCATCTTAATATTATACCAGTTGCAATATCATAACGCTACGCTTCTGTACAACTTTTTAAGATTCGTTAATAAAAAAAAACAAAAAAAAAATTACTAAATCGCTTTTTGACTTCATCCCATCTTTGTTGTGATTGGCCGAAGTAATTTTTTATGATATATTCATAATCAGGCTTCCAATATTTTATGAGATTATTGTCTTATTATTAACATTATTGTATTTAAACACTTCCAATTTCTGACTCAAATTTTTCAAACGTATCTTAAAATATTAATTTGGTAAATCGATTTTATCGATTTTACTCATCAATGTAATCTGCTTCAAGGGCAATACAATCATTCCAACGCTTCTCTAACTTCGCGATGCCGCGCTTGTAGAAGGATTTGTCTTTTACCATAAATACGCTTCAGTTTCAGCAATTACTTCTTCATTTAAGATGAAGTTTTTAACGGCGACTAAGAGATGAGTAGTCGCTTGGGATAACATCTGGACTATACGGTGGATTAGGAAGCAATTCGAAGTGTATTTCGTGCAATTTAGCTATTATTTTTGTTGACTTGTGACATGGTGCATTGTCTTGGTGAAACAAATTTTTTTCTTCGCCATATGCGATCGTTTTTTCACAATTACTGCTTTCAAACGATCCAGAAATGCCGTGTAGTAGTTACTATTGATGGTTATTTCCTCTTCGAGATAATCAATGAAGATTATACCATGTGCATCCCAAAATACTGAAGACATAACCTTCCCAGCTGACTTTTGTGCCTTTGGACGCTTCGGACGTGGTTCTCTGGCTGCAGTCCACTCAGATGATGAGTGAAGTAATGGATCCATGTTTCATCCATTGTCACACACTAATGCAAGAAATCTGATATAACCAATTTCTGGACTTTTTTGATGTTTTCTGAAGTAACCATCTCAATTGGACGACCAGAAAGTTCATCATCATAGGTGTCTGTACGACCACATTTAAATTTAGCAAATTAATAACAAATGGTTCTTTTCGATGGAGCAGAGTCTGGATAACACTTTTGAAGCCTTTGCTGAGCTTGTAAAGTATTTTTTTCATCAAGAAGCAATGATAAATTAACACACGAAATTGTTCTAAATCTATTGTTTTGAAAATAACAAAAGTGGCTACACTTAAATGGCTGTCACTTTTTTTCTGACTAATCGAAATATCATGAAATTTTACACATAGTCTTTTGAAGGTTGGTGTTTCAGAAACGTCATATGAATTTAACTGTGACAGCGCCATCTGTGTATCAGTCACACGACTTATTGAGTGATGTAGAATATATAATGGTCTTTACCGCTGGTGGGGAAAAACAATATATAATTGATGACGCATTAATTGTAAGTCAATAACTAATTTTATTTGAAATTTGTTTGTCTTTTATACAAAAAAATGTTAACACAACTATTTTTATAGTGCAAGATATACAATAATTACTTGAATAAATTTATTATTTATTATGTACTAAGCTTACTAAGCAGTAGGTACGATCGAATATTAACTTATTACCTAATTCTTAATTTTTTGTTGATTCATCAACATTACCTTTACCAACTATTGTACGTATATTATCGATGAGTTTACACCAGCTACCAAAATCATTTAAGTTTGCTCTGCTTAAAAATATAACGCACGGCTTGCAACTTATACTTAATTTTCAAAAATAAGTTGCACACAGGGAGCTTTATTTTTGCCCACATATAATAATTATTTTTGAGGCTTTACGTATATATTAATGTATGTAATTTTTTATAATTCAATACGTTTTTTCTTTCATAATCATATCACAAAAGAAATTCCGCTGATTTTAAGAATAACTGCTGGCTTACTTAGTCCTACCTCCTTGAAATCGCTTAACTAATAAGCTCCTCAAATCGGATGGTTGCCAAGACTAAAAATTCCTCTATTGTGAACGACTTTTGGAAGTACCTACGAAATTTCCAGTTAACTGTTAACGAATGATTTTGTTAATTCTTCGTTTTTCGTCTCGTCATTGTTCGTAACAAATACATTACTTTTATTATTTATTATTTTACTATTAAAAGGCAAGAAAATTCATAATTCATTCACAATCATGTAAAAAAAGATATTCTTGCCAAAAATTGCAAAGAATTATTATTCATTTTCGAAATTTGAACTGTAAATTTTATTACGTGTGTTAATAATTTGATGTTTTATTGACCAAAAATTTTTTGACAAATTATAAACTTTAATGTGAAACATTCCTTCCATGTAAGAAGGAACACTGACAAAAGTATGGCTATAAGAGCATTAGAGTTAAGCGACACAATTTTCTACGAGGGGGTAAGAAACAACATCAAAAGGGTTTTCAAAAAAAATGATTTCCCTAACCCAGTAATTCATAAAATCGTGGATAAAAAATTAAAAATCAAACCAGAAAACCCAAATTCATAAAAGTATTGTATATATCCTTCAACTTTCCAATCAAATCACAGCATGTAAGATGCAAAACACGATACGGAAGCAAAACACGATGATTTTTTAACACCAAATCGAAACTAGAGACTTTGGATAAACACAATGTGGTTTATCATATCAAATGCAAAAGTAACAGATCCAACATATGCAGCCAAGTATACAAGGAAAAACAAGTGAAAGACACATATAGCCGGACATAAACACAGCGTAAAGTATAAAAATAATATTGAGTCAAAAACGGCACTGGCAACATATTGTATTTAACCAAAGCATGAACCCGACCTTGACAGTGTAAAGGTTTTACATAACGAAAATAATCAACCAAAACACTTTTTCTTAGAAATGTTATATATCCTCCGAACAATGGCGACACGACTGTTAACAGGAAATTTCGTAGGCACTTCCAAAAGTCATTCACAATAGAGTTATTTTTTTTTTTTTGATTGTGGTGAGGAGGTGGAATGCTTTATGCAACGTTAAACCGACCATCGTCGGAATGGTATGTCTGACTCCATAACATTAATATATAGTATATGGACTAAAACACCCCCTCTTCAGCGAAACTTATTCCCCCTCGGAACCGCTTTCGCATTACTTCGAGAAGGGTCTCTTTTATGTTGGCATTTCAAGCCACGCTCTCTTGATTTTCGATCTGCGTCCAGACCACCACTTTTCACCGAATTTTTTTGGTGTCCACTTGTAAGAACGGAAATTGACATTAAATTTCCGTCTACATAAATAGACATTGGACACATCAATTAGGTACAAGCATTACAGTGAACTAAAAAAAAAAAATAACATCATAACACAGTTTTATTCATTTTACACACAACACAATACCTAATATAACAATTATTGGTAACTGTACGCTACTTGGTGCTAACCCAGATCCTTAATCTGTGTTAGCTTGGTAGCCAATTTTTATGTGTAAAGTAGTTTGAGCACTTGTAACCCAAACTACTTGTATTTTCTATGTTGATTAGTTTGAGCACTTGAAACCCAAACTAATCGATGCGAGAAAGTAAGAAAGTTATAACTGATTTTTCTTTTCCTTCTGAACTTTATTAAAATTATTTCTTATTTTTATACAAAAATTATTTTATAAAAAAGCTATTAAGATATGCATTAATTAACAATAAATATTAATGCATAATTCACAAATAAATAAATTTGCCTACGCTGTGCTGACATAATTATAGGCCAACATATTACACACTTTCTTCAGTGCATTGGCCAATAAGAAAAGCTGATAATGCAAAATTGCACTTTTCGTTGGTCAATGACTGGTCGCAGTGTTGGCCCAACTAATATGTAAACACATGTAAACAAATAATAAAAAAAAAACAAAAATATAAAATAATATTAAGTAATTGCAAACATAAACATTCTCCCCGCCGTTGAGTGCCAACTCAACTTGTCCTAGGTTGTGGTCACAGTGAAGTCCAAATTTTGTTGACGTAATTCTGCATTCTGCATATCATTTCCTCGTGTTGAAATTTCGCTTATTGTGTCTTTCTGACATCTGTTATGTTTGGTTTTCCAAGTAATGATTATGATTATTGTTATAGAAATTAACAACGCCAAATAACTTATCGTATGATGATGAATACTGTTTAATCGCACTCTAGAGGGAAGATATGTCAAGTTTTCCTTAGTTAGCCGGTTTTGCAATTCTGTGAGTTCTTTGAGTTGTGTTTTTACATCATTTGGTGTTGTGTTGAAGATTTTCTGCATCTCATTAATGTGCACAACTGTTGATAAATTTCCAAATCGTGGAAATGACGTGGATACAATGCTGGAGATAAAATAGTGGCCATGTATGGTTATTTCTGCGTTTTTAATGATGCACGTAGGTCCAAATGTAAGCATTCCGGATCCTATCAGTGCGAACTGACTCAAGTAGGTCTCACAACTAGCTGACATCAATGTTTCGAATTTTGTTTCGTATAGCCACTGGTTCGGGTTGTGTAGTTGTTTCAATGTAATATTTCCTT